TAAACAAGAGAACAAGGAAGAAACAACTCACTTTTCTACAAGGTCCCAATTGTAAATAAGCTGTCCGCAGAGCAAATGGGGTTACACCAAGGTTTCCCACCCTTGATGCTGCTAACATTTGGGGCTGGATAATTATTTCTTGTGCATTTGCAGGGTGTTGAGCAGCCTCCCTGGCCTCTACCCATTAGATGCCAGGAGCACACCCCTGCCCCTGAATTGTGACAATCAAATATGTCTCCAGGCTCCACCAAATGTCCCCTGGGGGCGGGGGGAAGAGCGATAAATTTGCTCCCAGATGAGAACCACTGGATTAGACCGAGGCTACAGTCCAACTGAGCATAAGCCAGCTATTAAACTAATGACAACTATTAGCCGGATTTCCCACGTCACCCCCATTATCAGCCTGACATTGCCGAGACCCCAAAATTCCCTTGGTCCTGTCAACATGCTCGCCCTGGACTTTAGTGTGGCCGCACCCTGAACCCCCTTTTCTTCTCTCCCACTTCCTCAGTCCTTTCCCTTCCCCTCTACAGGATAAGGCAACTCCTTATTCATCTTGACGTTCTGATGACACGAAGGCATCCGAGGCGCTCGAAGGAACTAACACTTGAATTGATCCTAAGGAAAACTGGCACTGTTTTTATAGGAAGCCAGATATAATATGCAAAAATTTCAGAACACCATTACCGCAGCCTCTTTGCCTGGTTAACTCTCTCTCAGCCGTCAGCTCTCAGCCCAAATCTTCCCTCCTCAGCTTGAAACTCACCTCCAGGGAGAGAGCTCCCTGAACAACCCCCCTGCACCGTGCCCACTCGCTCTCCATGCCTGTCTCATTTCTGTTCACTTATCACCACCCCCTGACAGGATGGGCGTTTCTATCTGTAAATTCACTGTGTGACTCCCCCAACCAGAATGGGTGCTCCATTGGCAGGGAACCCCCTGTCTTGCTCATTATTGTAACTATACTTTAGCATCTCGCACAAGGCCTGGCCTCCTCTGGCCCCCAAACTATTTACTGAATAAGCAAATGGGTGGGTGGACTTACAACGGCATAACATCTGAAGTATTGATTTCCTTCCATCCCTACTCATTCTCCTCGTGAGTTCTGTTCACAATCCTTAGGGGCCCCAGCGTCGACTTTAAATGATATGAATGTAACTCTCTCCCCTTCTCCCCCAGTTAGCTGACCAAAGAAATTCAAGTGTCTGATTGGTCGTTGCAGGCTGAGCTGTCAGGAGTTTCCCTCCTGATGCCCTGGACCTTTAGGTCCTGAGAGGGATCTCAAGTAAACCAAGGTATGCTCCCGTCTAAGTGGGGCCAACTTCGCAGAGAGCCAGACTGACAAATCTTTACTCGACGGAAGAGGTCCTTCATTACAGCTCCCAGGGCACCATTGTGTTTGCGTAGAGGCCAGTAACTAATCGACAGTGAAGCTGCTGGGGAGAAGGGAGGCAGAGCAGCTAAAATTAAGTGACAAGCGGCCTTGTCAATTGCAGTGCATTCTGAAATGACAGACCGTCAGGGGGGTCAATGAGAAAGAGAGAACCAAATAATGAGAATTCAAATTTTTCGCAACACTATTGATGCACAAGGAGATGTTTCATTTTTGCTGCTTGCAAATAAAGTTTGTATTGGGTCCTTTGCTTAAACCACTTTACCCACCAGTCCTAGGGCAACCTATCTATCAAAGAACTACTCACTGTGCCCTAGCCGGTTTGGCTCAGTGAACAGAGCGTCGGCCTGTGGACTGAAGGGTCCCAGGTTCGATTCCGGTCCAGGGCACATGCCTGGGTTGCGGACTCGATTCCCAGTAGGGGACGTGCAGGAGGCAGCTGATCAATCATCCTCTCTCACATTGATACTTCTCTCTCTCTCTCTCCCTCTCCCTTCCTCTGAAATCAATAAAAATATATTAGAAAACAATTTAAAAAAAGAACTACTCACTGTGTGGAGCACTGTATCTATTTACCTATAGACCTACATCCACCATCTGCCTGCTGCTCTCCCTGTTTAAGTACATCTGTGGGTGCTTGTGGAAAGCATCTTTCTTTCCTCCCTCCCTTCCTCCCTCCCTCCCTCCCTCCCTCCCTCCCTCCTTTCCTGTCTTCCTTCCTTCCTTCCCAGCGACCTTGGGCAGTTTACATCAAGCCCGGCCCTCTAGCTCTGCCTGAGCACTAGCAAATTCTTCTGCTGGTCAAGACAACTGGAGAAATGGGTCAGAGGCTGAGAAGATAGAGTCTCATGGCATATGGCTCTGAGTCTGGCATCCTCCAACACTATATCCTTCCTGTGCAACCCTGGACAAATTATGTAACCTCTGTTCCTCATCTGGAAATTGGGGATCACGAGAGCACCTATGTAATTAGGGCACTGAGGGGATCCAATGGGAGAAGCCAGTTCTTGGCGCACGTCAGTGAGTGGGGATCATGATAATGCCACCAGGCCGATAACCAAATTCCAACTCCTCTAAGGCCTTTTTTTTTTTTTCCTTTCTAAGTCACCTGGTTCCTGGGTCACCGCCATCTGGGACGAGGGAAGCATTCACCACTGCAGTCAGGATTCCTTGGTGCCCCCCAGGGGCTGCCCGCTGAGGGGAAAGCTGACACCAGGGATTTCAACCTTCCTGGGCTTCCTCATTCTATCAATCTGGCCATTAAGCAGAGAGTCCTGCTGATGCCAACAGATGCAAAGCTCTGCTGTGCTAACGGCAAAGAGCAGAGCGTAGAGGAGTCCTCGGCAGCCCATCAATCCATCTCCCCCAACTCAGAACAGCTGCATGGGGCAGATTTGCCAAGCACCTGGGAGGAACGATGCAATGCACACCCGGAAGAGAGGGGGTGCATGGAGGGAAGGGCCCCTGGGTGGCCCGATGACTGTATGCGGGCTGGGCCCCGCACAAGTGAGGTCACTGGCCTGTGGTGTAGGGACGTGGCTGGCAGTGAAATAAATCTAAAAGGCAGGCCCACCTGTGGCACCGGCACTGCAGGATGGAGCAGGTCACGCCTTTCTTAGGAGTAAAGGGCGCGCTGGGCGGGAAGGAAATGGGCGCTGACCAGAGGCTCGGCGGAGCAAGCACATCTGCCACTTGCTCTGCGTGGTTGGCTCTTCCGAGCTCAGGCACAGCTGCCATCTTGCTCGTGCCATGTGGGTAATACCTGGGGCACCACTTTCTGCCAGAAGACGCTTCCCTGCCCCTCCTGTCTGACCTGCCTGCCGCAGCTGAATAGGGTCCCGTCGTGACTCACACCATGGGCTGAGGCCCAGCACAAAGTAAGATCTGGCCACAGGCTTGTGCCAACAGTTCAAAACAACTGCACTTTGATTGGGTTCCTGTGTCTCTTTAACATGGGAAACCAGAAGTCGGGGAAAGACGACAACATCCGACGGCTCCCCAGAGACCAAGAACCAGATGAGACTGATGGAGTGTTGTTTGGGGACAAATTGAGTCATTTCCCCAGGGGCGTGGCACAAATGCAGAAAGCCAGTCTCGTGCCATGGCTGGCTGCAGCGCGAGGCTCAGGCCCCCTGGGTAATGGCTGTGACTCTAAGAGAGGTCGCTGGGTAGGGGTGAGCTGTCACACTCACAGTGTGCCGGCCAAAGCCACTGGCACGTGACTGCTCTTTCCCATGGAGGTTCTGAAGGGCCGATTAGCCGGTTTCCATAGTGAAGGACTCAGGAGGGCCAAGGACAGACCATAGGGGGTAGTGCCACGCCACCCCCAGGAAGTGAGATTTGGCTTCTAGAATTCTGGACACAGACTATTTTCCCAGGGGGTGTTCCTGAGTTTAATGAGTTTTCCTGGTGGGGGGGAACTGGTAAAGAAGAGAAGAGCCATCATTTTTAAAATGCCCTGGAAGTTCGCTCACAATCCGGTAGGGTAGCCTGGGGAGAGACCCATTTCCCAAAGTGCAGAACACCTACGTCTAAAGGAGTATCTTTCGATGCTTTTAGAGGCCACCCAAAGGAACTTTTAAATTTTATTGATTTAATATTGATTTTAATGTTTTGCAAAAGAAACTTAACTAGCACGCCAAACTTATGATTTCACGGATATTTTTGCCAGAGACAGCGTTTGTCAAGCTTGGCACCATTGGCAATTTTAGGCTGGATAATTCCTTCCTGGGCAGAGGTCCTGTGCACTGGGGGATATTTAGCAGCATCCCTGGTCTCCACCTACTAGTTGCTAGTAGTAACCCATCCTACAAAGGGACATAACCCGAAATGTCTTCAGACATGGCCTAATGCCCATTGGGGGTCAAAGCTACCCCTGATTGGGAACCATTAGCTTAAGATCAGTCTACTTCTGAAAGTAAAAAAAAAAATTAATTTAAGGAAAAATGTATATTTAGGTGATGTGATGGAACAGGTGTAATTTATCTATGCAAACATGGCTCAGGTAATAGGTGAATAAAGGAATGTGGAAAAGCCAGGCCAGAGGATGACCAAACAGGCAGAAGGAACTGGGTCCTAAGCCCCTTGAACTCCCACCCATTGCTCTTTCCTGCCAGCTCTGTGGTCTGGTCACCCCTGAGGCCGATATAACTAAAAGTGTATGCTGGGAAATCCGAGGACAGAAGAACACAGAGAAACCCTGAGAATCCTCTCTCCCAACAACGTCTGGCCTTCCTGTCCTCCTTCTTTCTGTGGTGTTTCCTTTCTTCCTTTCTTTATCAAATTGAATTTATTGGAGTAACATTGGTTAATAAGATTATATAGGTTTCAGGTGTACAATCATCTGTATATTGTATTATGTGTTCACCACCCCAAATGAGGTCTCCTTCCATCACCATTTATCCCCCCCCATAACCTCTTCTACCTCCCATGATGCTTTCAGACACCTGGGTACACACGTGTGTGCACACACATACACAATCAGCTGTTGTGTCTGTCCAGGCTTTCCGAGCCATGGAGCCAAGAGGATGCACAGATGTGCCCTGGAGAACTGATGCAGGGACATCTGTGCAGACATAAGTGACAAAGACCATGGGAAGGTACTGACCTGGGTCTCCAGGGTGATCAGCGGACTTGGGTGTGGGTCCTGTGGGAAGAAAGGAGAAAATACACATGAGTGGTGGGCAAATTTAACCTACTGCTCCAGCATCATTCAAACCAAAGCTGGATCTCTTCAGTGCTTAAGCCGCCCACAGGTAAGCCGCCCAACTCTGTCTCCCCTGTTCTGCAAGACATGAGAACAGAGTCGTCCAATCTCCAATGTCTCCCCAACCCCCAGTGATTAAGGAGACTCAAGTTTTTCATTAAGAGGTGAAGGGGGCACCTGCATGGAGGTCATGCAGAATGAGGAAGTGTAAAGAAATAAGAAACAAAGCATCCTCACTGAATATCTCCAAGGGCATCCAAACTCTCTATGTGAAGGGAAAGCTGTCCATAAGAGAATGAGAAATAAACTTGAAAGAATATAAAGTCCCAATTAGGGGCAAGGCCACCAGCTTGTGTCTGATCTTGGAAAGATTGAAGGAAGAAACAAGACAAAGAGAAGAGCTTAATTCCTAGTCTGCAGAGCACATTCCAATGGGCTGGGAAGATCCTTTTCAGGAGAGAGAAGGCCAGAGAAAAGTCCGATTCATTCACTCTCTACAAAAGCCGATTGACTGAAAATGCCTGGTGGTCATGTCTCGGGTCATTAAACATGAACTCTTTGGGTGGGGGCCAGGGTGGGCACACAGAAGGAAGGGACGGATGGGAAGGAGGTAGTGGTTTTCAGCAAGCAGCCTCCAAGAAAAACAGGAAACCCAGCACATAAAGGCTATTTTTGTCTGCACAATGTTGGCTCTGAACTTAACCGTCTTGGATTTGTAACTCTGGGAAAGCAACCTCAAGCTGCCTCTTACAGAGAATGGGCATGACGTGCAAACTCAGTTGGACGCTTTGCTTTATCCAAGCAGGTTTTCCAACACAGGCTTCGAGGAAGCCATGCAAATTAGCACCAACTCACTGGACTGTATGGTGAACAAGAAAGAACACGTGTAGTAATCATGCCATATTTGTCCTCTGTGTCTAACTTATTCACTTGGAGTAATGTCCTCAAGGCTCATCCATGTTGTCACATATGACAGGATCTCCTTTTTTAGGGCTGAATACTCTTCCATTATATGCACATACCACATTTTCTTCTATCATCCATCAGTGGACATTTAGGTTGTTTCCTTATCTTGGTTATTGTAAATATGGTTTCAATGAACATGGAAGTTTAGATATGATTCCACTTATATGAGGAATCTAAAATAGTCAAACCTGTAGAAGCAGAGAGTAGAATGATGGTTGCCAGGGGCCGGGGGAAGGAAACTGGGAGTTGCTGTTCAATGGGTTTAGAATTTTAACTGAGCAAGATAATAAATAACCTCTAGAGATCTGCTGTACAACACTGTACCTATAGTCAACAATACATATTGTGCACTTACAATTTTGTCAATAGGGTAAATCTCATGTGAAGTATTCTTAGCACAATAAAATAAAGGACTAAAAGAGAAATTGAAACATTTTGAACCCCTACCCTAGATGAAAGGTCACTTTCTGGATCACTCCTCTGTAGTACCTTTACAATGTCTATCTCTCTATATAAAAGCCTAAGCCAACCGGTCGGTAGCTATGAGGTGCACTGACCACCAAGGGGCAGACGCTCAACGCAGGAGCGGAAACCACAGGCATGGAAACATGGAACAGACTGATGAATCTCAGAGGGAAGGGGGGGAGGAGGAGGGCAGGGAGAGATTAACCAAAGATCTTATATGCATACTAGAGGCCTGGTGCACGGATTCGTGCACCGGTGGGGTCCCTTGGCCTGGCCTGCAGGGACTGGGCCAAAACTGGCTCTCTGTCATCCCCTGAGGGGTCCCGGATTATGAGAGGGTGCAGGACAGGCTGATGCACGAATCCGTGCACCGGGCCTCTAGTTTATAATAATTCTGATGAGTATAAGAGCCATGAGCCCAGGGACATTCTGAGCTCTAGTCAGAACTAACTTTTCTTTTAAGATGAAGGGCTCTTCTCCCCCAATTCTATTTCTGAGCCCAATAGCCAGCATTTTTCAATGGTGCAGCTCAACTGGAATCGCCAGGGGAACATCTAATTTCCACACTTCACCCAGGCACTGAATACTCCTCATACCTAGGAAAATGCTGAGGGGAACATTTCTTCCACTCTCCCCTTGGGGACTTGGGAGAATCTTGGAGGGAATATTTCAGGTATCTCTCTTCAAACCTTTACTAGCTCCTTCCCAACCATGAAGAGGTGGCAGCCATGATGGGTGAGAACCTTCACTGAGACCCTTTTTTCGAGCAAACAGGTTCACTGGTCCAGCTGTCCTTCACGGAGCCCCTCTATCCGGCCCCTTTATCACTGGTACATAGGGAGAGTTGGCCCTGTACTTCCAGGTTCCCCACGTTAAGCAAGCACACTTGGCAGGGCCCATTTTTGTCTTCAGGAGGCAAGGCCATCGTCCTGGTGTGTGACAGGCAGCGTGAGTCAGATCTGGCATGCAGCTTAGGCAGTGAGAGCATGCTCCGCCCGCTCTCCAGCTCAGAGGAGTCTGTGTCTGTCTCTCCATTCAGATCCCGCCATCGAGATTGTGACTAGAAGACAAGAGGCTGCATCTGAGATTCAAACCTTAGCCTCATTCTCTAAGCCACATCCTTGCAAAAGCACTGCACTGGGGTGTTGGGTGCCTGCCCAGATTAATTAAGTTGTACTTCACAGCTTATTTGGCCATTGTTTGGGGCTTATGCTTCATTGCCCAGGATCCTGAGGGGGTAAAGAGGGGAAAATGCCATCTCAGGCCCCTAACTTCACTGGAAAAGACCTTCCTTGGGAAACCTCTGTTAATTGTGGTGATAAAACCCAGGGCCTGATCTCTGGATAGAGTGATGATGCAACTCTTTATTTGATGCTCCAAGATCAGAGACCCTATGGGCACAAGGTCAGGGGTCCAATATCCATTAAAAAGCTTTTGGAAGACAAAAGTACAAATGCTCTCTATTTAGCATGTTAATTACCTCGCCAAGAAGATGAAGTACTCACTAGTGGCCAGTCATTCACACTAGGATTCACTTGTCAACAGAATTTTGCTTCCCCCACCCCGCACCCCCTCCCCTGCGCATTTGAAATATAGGACTCTCCCTACAGAGGTGCATCTGGAGGATTCAAGGTATGACTCCGTAGTGGTGAGGTCTCACTTGCAGCAGCATCTTCCTTAATTGGAAAGGCTAACGAAGTGGAACCAGGTCAATGACGCTGTCTGCCTAATCCATCCTGTGGGTCTCAATTGGGACTCTTTGCTTTACAGTAGAGTAAACTCCTGTCTGTCAGAGGAAAGGCTCCGAAAGACCAAAGGGGAATTTGTGATGTGCTGCGATGCTACCCTGGAGTGCTTTTAGAATCTTAATGCGCGTACTGGACCAGGGAACCGCCTGCTAAAGCAAGGAAAGCCCTTTCACAGCAGGTATTGCAATGGCTAAATTGGGGAAGTCAAATGGAGAACTAGGTAGGCTGGATTTGTGGTCCTCACTCGCCACCCCTCCCTGTATCCAGACTCTCCGGTCCTGTGACTTTGTATTTCTTTGGAGGATATGCTTCCTCCTCCTTTGACCTCAGCCTTGCCCATCTGACTTGCTTTGTCCAACGGGAGGTTAGCAGATATGACATGAGCAGCAGCTTGAAATGTGCTTGTGAGATTGAGCATCACCTCTTGAGCTTTTGCCATCAGCACAAGAACACGCCCCAGGAAGATGCTGGTCCAAGGAGGATGAGACACGCGGAACAGACCTGGACTCAACCTATAGCTTGAATCCAAACCCAGCCGACATCAGCCATCCCTCAGACAACCTTCAGACACAGAGAGAACACACAGGGTGGGGCAACAGGAGGTTTACAGTTGTGAGTACATGAAACATGGTTTATTTTTATATTACTATTTATTAATTACTGTATTATTTTCCATTTTTGCCCCAACCTGTATATTTATTTTAACCTATTGAGTTTCAGGGTGGCTTGTTATATAGTGAGAGCCTCGTTTTATTGTGTTTAATAGATACTGTGTTTTTACAAATTGTAGGTAAGACTCTCTCCCAGCAAAAGGATTATGACTTGCTGAAGGCTCAGATGATGGTTAGCATTTTTAGCAATACAGTATTTTTAATTAAGCTTTGTACAGTATCTTTTAAGAATTACTATAACATACTTAATAGACTACAGTAAAATGTAAACATACTTTTATGTGTACTGGGAAACCCCAAAATTCGTATTTCAGAAGTCCAGAACCAAATCTGTATCTTTGAGGTACACCTGTATGGCATTAACCACTAACTGATATACTTTTCAAATGTTGACTTTCATAGAATCAGTATGTATTGTGCAAACACTCCAGCCTTGGAAATGAAATGATACAGACTCCCTAAATCTGCAAATATGTCCCAGGGACACGAAATAACTATAACTAATAGCTATGATTTATCACGAACCTACCATGTGCAGGCTCCATGCAAGGTGTACATCACACCAAGCAAAGAAAGTCTTGACCACCAGGATCTAGTTCTACCCGTGAGTTAGCTTTCAGCCCTCTTTGCCAAGGACACCAGTCCTTCCACATTTATTTAGATTCCATTACAACACTAATGGAAACTGTCACTCAGAATCCGCCTGTCCCGAGATAAAGACAGTTTTTCGTCCTCTGGTTTAGTCTACACTTGACCAAGGTTAAGGATAATCATAAATACTAGTAATAATTAGTAACTTACTAGGGTGATAATTAAGTAATAACTTGTAAGTTCTTACCATGTTCCTGGCACTGGCTTAACGTCTATAGATATATCATTCCATTTACCCCTTACAACAATATGGAGGCGGATACTACCATTGTTCCCATTGGGAGATGGGTAAACTGAAGACCAGAGAGGCTGGGGAGCCTGTCTCAGGTTGCAGAGAGAGTGCTGGAGTCTGGATTCGATCCCAGCGCCCTGCCTGGAGAAACCTGTGCTCTGCTGTATTATAGGGGTTCCACTGGAGAATACAGCCCCACCTCAAAGT